TTAACCTTAATAAAAACATTGAAAGTTTCAAACCATTATCGTAAACTATTGTTGGTTGGGTAACTAATTACAGATAACCTTACAGTAAAGGGTGGACAATTTAACAAGTTTATAATACTATAGGTACAAGAAGCCTCAAGCTATGAAAGCTCAGGTCTTCAAAATTTAAGTTAAGGTGGAGCTTAATTTGTCCATATACTTTAAAATGTGTGGTGATATTTTGATATATGCAAAACAGAGATTTAGGATTATTTGTCTACAACAAAGACTTTCCCATGGTTTGTCAAAAGGAGGCCCAAAATTACAAGATGTAAATGTTTCTAATGTGCAAAGATTAACTTTGTCTCATCTCACATTGAAACATTCAGTAAACAATACAGGGAGGATTCCCTTAACCAAATAGTCTGTGCCTACCAATTTACCAGGTAAATTATGGCATCAATAAGACAGCAACCACCTGACAAAAATAACCAAAAGACAGGTGTCTATACAATTTGTCAAGCTCGTAAACCATCCCAAGTCTTTAAAAAGTGTCGACAAATGAAGAAGAAACAATGAAAGATCTGCTTTCAACACTCAATTCTTCAAATAAGGTAAAACGTTAAAATAGGATGTTTGCAAACTACAGAGGATGTTTAGGAGCAGGAAAGGTACAAGACTATGTGGCAGGGTCAAACTAGTATTTTAAGATTAAAGTTTGAATTGTTTGACAGGACTGTCATGTAAATTTTATCAATACGCATTCAAATGAATAGCAACATCTCTGGCTTAAATAAACTAATTGAAGAGCTTGACATATTGTATAGACATCTGTCTTTAGTTGAAGACTGTATGCTGCCCTCTAAATGTCTTTTCATTGTTTGTGCTGTTGGATTGCTGTCTCGTTTATATATTTGCAACCTCTCTTTGCACTTTTATGTCAACCAATCCCATATTCAGTCAAAACTGTAAAGGTATATACAACTTTAACTTCATTCATAAAATTTAAAAATCAAATACTGAAAATTATACAAGCATGCATAATTTTAAACATTGTATAATAATAACTGAGTTGGAAAAGAGAAAACGTAAATGTCAAATGAAATAAGGTAAAGACTGACATTTAACAAGCAAATATAAACTAAAATGTCACCACTAATTTGTACAAGTATGTAGATAACTTATCTGTGATCAACAGATTTGGGTGCTCTTAAAAGATCATAATCTCACTAATTAGTCGGCAATAATCAATTCATGAAATGGTAGGGTTTCAATTCAATTACTACCAAAACCTTTTTATCATTAAACATATACAATTTCAATTAATTTTATAATAATTTCTTCATCAATTTGTTTTGGGGTTTGGGCTGGATTTGTAGTTATTTCTCTGAAATTCTTAAATGTCTCAACCAAATTTTGAAGCATTTGTATCCTCAGTTTGTATCAAAAGTTAGATTACAAACAATGCACTTTTGAGTATAAAGATTTGTCAGATTATATATCAATAACTTTAACAAATGGTAAAGTAATAACTGGATTATACTAACTTCATGCTGCTGAACTCAGTGCACATTCTAAATTATACTTAAATCTCACAGAAATGTGTCACAATTGAACTTAAAATTCTAAAAAATATAAAAAAAAAAAAAAAGGATTATAACAACAACAACAAAAACCAACTTTAGTTATTAATTCAATCTTTAATAAATTTTTTTTCCATGTCCCAGAATATAAAACTTCTTAAAAAAACAGTGTTGGATATAATTCTATCAATTCTTTATCGATGAATTATACAGAAATAATTAACAATTAAACCACTGTCCTTTTTCTGAAATACCTGTAACATTAATAGAAAAAATTACAGAATTGATGCGCTGAATTCAATAAAAAAAAAATCAAAAAATATATACCAATACTAATGTAATAGAAATGTATTTTTCAAGGAGATAAACTGTATCTGTCCCAATTTTATATATCTTTCAAATGAGGCAAAATTTGTTTGGTTATTTACTAATGAAAATTTGTCTATACTTAAATATTTAGGGAGCTATATTATTACATGTCTAGATGTTAGACGAAATGTTAATTGTATGTAATAACAATGATAATTGTAATGATTTTATAGTTCTGATCCTGCCTAGAATTAAATGTATGTGATTTTTTTATAGAATGAAGATAATAACATCTGTCTGAACTTTTTAATGTTTCATTTTAATATATAAAAATGTTTTTCTGTTACAAATCATGATGTATTGTTTTATGTGTACATGTTATGCTGCCCATCAAGGGCCCTTGATTGGAATAATAAATATTCTTATTCTTATTCTCTTATTCTTATTCGAAATTTTTGGTCTATTATCAACTTAACAAATGGGGTTTCTGATGAATAGACCTAAATGCAGAAATCTAAACTGGACAAAAGAAGAGTCTAAAACTTTCCAATTTAACTGTGTGGCACAAAATGTGTATACTTTGTGTAATGCTATGAGATTTGATAGTGCTTCAACATTCATTTCAAAGTTATGCAGCACCTGCTATAGAACAGAACAATCCAATGTATGACTCAATGTGGCAAATATTAGTGTTCTATTTCATAATGACAAAAAGGCATCCCAATTATCCTTGCATCTAAATTTTGATCAACTCCACCCCATCTGATGAAATAGCTGATAGCACCTAAACATCGCAAAAATAACAAATCATATAAATAAAATTATGGTTGAAATCTATCTTGTATTCTTTGGAATTGTAGTAAAATTCATATTCCGGTGTAATGAGATTTTACAGTTATATTGCAAATACTATTTATGTTTCCAATTCCAATTTCAAGATTAAAATGAAGTTTCCTCGAGTTTCAAAGAGTGGTGATAAATTGATAATGATAACTTTTGTCAAATAAGATATAGCTGTAAAATTAGGAGTATTTCTTCAACTTTTTTCTATTTTCATTATCCAACATTTCAAAATTTGAATGAATTTGGTGGCCTATATTTGCTTAAATCCATGTCATTCTGGACTCTTGTGGATAGTTGTCTCATTGGCAATAATAAGTCACATTAGAAGGTTAGTTTCTGAATTCTTAATAGATTTGTCAGGGTCTTCTCAGTCACATCTAATTTGTACCAGACTTCTGATTTGGACCACATTTCTGATTTATACTATAGGCTTCTAATGCATACCAGGTTTTTTATTTACACCACAGTTCGAATTTTTTCCAGGCTTCTGATTTGTACCAGGTTTCTGATTTGGACCACATTTTTTATTCATACCATACTTCTGATTTGTACCAGGCTACTGATTTAGACCTACTTCTGATTTGACCCCATTCAGATTTAAATCCCATTTTTGATTTGTACCGGGCTTCTGATTGTACCAGACTTGTAATACCAAATTTCTGTTTTGTACCAGGCTTGTAATTAATACCACATTTCTGTTTTGTACCAGGTTTCTGATTTGTACCTAACTTCATGCAGGTACTTTCCGTTTTTGTCTGTTTTATGCCTGGACGTAAACATCAGAATACCAAGTTTATATTTAGACAACATGACGCAGGTTTCAGACAAATAAGAATTTGGTCACAAGTAGATGTTGTATAAATATCATTTGGCAATCAAGTTAACTTAATGCATGAGAGTAATAACTGAATTCATCAACTGGACACTAAAATAAATAGCTTGTATAAACAACAACAAATAAATAATCTTGTGTCTTGGCAAATAACTGCATACTTCTGATAGACATCAATTATAGTATCCTATCATCAAATTAATACAAAATTCACATTCACACTACTCAGCATATTTATTGTTATTATCGCAGTAAGCATTACTATCTGAAAAAAATATATTAATTTCCTATTTGTGATTACTGCCAATACATGAATGAATATAACATGAATGGGTGTACAATACCATTGTCAAACAACAATTGCTCATCATTTTAAAGATTCAAATATTCATTGTCATCAACTTTTACTTTTACTGAGTGAATGGGTTTTAAAAAATCTAGAACCATATGAGGAAAAAGTTAAATACATCTGATAAAGAACGAATATAAAAAAGTTACATTACAGAATGTTATTTAATGTGCTGATCAATTTGATTACACAAAATATCCTTGCTGTCTTCAGAGCCATAGATATTTTATATGTTTCTTCAATTGAATGAATACTTGGATGGCTTGTTACATAAGACCACATATGATAACTGAAACAGCATATCCCTATGGTGTTTATATAAATGGTTTCATTTTCACTACCTTGTAAGTTTCTTTTTCAAATTTGGTGTAAAGTTAAATATATGTACATCTCATCAGTTTCACAAGTCAGAATCAATATCTGCTTCATTACAGATGTTGACAGTGCAGGTCAATATATCATGTAGTCATATACCCTCCATTAAAATTATTTAAACTTTGTATAGAAAATATCAGGATACAGAAAAAAGATATATAGGTACAGCTCAACATGACATTAAGGATAATTTAAAATACATTTTTGTGTTTGTTGTCATGCAGAAATTTTGTCAACTGCTGGAAATTTAAATGCTAGACATCAAATTGTAACATAAAAAAAAATTTCATTTGCTGGGTTTTTTTTTCATTCATTCTTGGTTTTATTTCTTAAATATCTAATGATTCGTGCCTTAATAGTATTTTTTTTTTTAAATTTTAGTACATGTATTTATTCATTTCTTTATCCTAATTTTGTACTCTATTGGAGTTTTGCCTCCATGGTTGACTACAACAGTTAAGTTTGCTCTTACAAGTGTTTTCTTTTATCAAACTCTATATCCTTAAATATGGTCAAAACTAGAACTGTTTGTATATATTTAGCATCCACAGACTGCTCAGCTATTCATAACAGTATAATTCCCCCTGTCTGTGATTACTTCAAAAATTATAGAAGAATACTTAAAGGTTTTCACAAGTGGAGAAGTTTAAGTCACTATTTGAAAAGCTTGATAGGACTATATACTTTTTCAATTCAAATTAATTTCAATAATTTACATGATTCGACTTACCTGTTTTTGTTTGACTGCAAGTATTTTTACAAACATCTTGTGTTAAAAAATTATTTTCCCCAGGATCACATCCACCGAACCAAAACATCCGACAGTCTCTCTCTGTTTGGTTGTAATACCATCGTACTGTGTAGTTGTTACAAGATCCTGCTTCAGGATTCTTTAAACAAGTCTCTGAAGTAGCTGTCAGAACAAAAACACAATTTAATAAAATCACTAAACAACAAAAACTTATCCGAAGAAATTTTAGTTTTTCCATGATGGTTAAATTAGTTCTGATATGTTTTTAACTTGCACTGAGACAAAAGTTGAGTGGGTGAATTTTTTTCTTGAAGTTGATGATGGTGTTGTAGGCTGTCCTTTCTAAACACTACACAATATCCACTGACTCATTCAAAACTTATGAATAAATGAAATAGGAAATCTCCATTCAGGACACTTATGCAACACAAACAATCATTAAAATTTTGAAATTCACTCTACCATAAAATCTGTGTTGCTCCTGTAAGTTATGATTGAAAAAAAAATAATGTCTACAGATCTGATTTATAATTTTTTATATTTATATAAATTTCCACTTTTATAAATCTTGCAAAAACTTCAATAAAGAAAAGCCATGGGAAATGAATTATCACTGTAGAATCCAATTGGTATGATTTAAATATAATTCATGCATTTCATCCACATTTACATTATGGTATCTTAAGGTTCATGAGAATAAATGTGATCCTATGTACAAAGGTTGTGACTATGTGTAAGTATTTAGATGAGACATTATTGTTTATTCAATCTTAGTTTGGAGAGGGCCTTGCTTTAGCCCCACCTCTTTATATACTTTTATTGTCCACAATGAAATAAGGTGGGGATACCCAGGGGATATTTGAAAATGATAAACATTTAAACTTTCTAAGTAAATTACTTTAAAATGTTCATCTACTAAAAAAAAAGGGAGAGACATTTAAATATTTAGGTAGACAAAATATAATTCTATCCTCATAATAGGAATAAGATCTCATGATGAACATATATCTAGAGGATTCTCTGGAAAATATTCAACAAATTATGAAAATATGATAAATGAAGGCGTGTAAAGGAATTTCTTAGTATCTACCTGTCAAACAATAAAGAAAAGTGATAGTTTAGTGTAAGCTTTCATTAAACTGGTGTTGTATTTTAATATTAATATGTCATGACAAATGACTATTTTATAATGTTTAAAAACAAACATACAATAATATCTGCTTGTTCTGAGATGATTAGAGTTAAGCAGTTAAGCATGAAATTTAGATTAAACTTGTGATTATAAGTCGATTAATTGGAAGTTAATTCAATAGAAATGATGTAAGTGATTCCAGGTGTACTGGACGGATTAAAAGGTCTATTATTTTAAATATCATAATTAATGTATTTACAACTGTGAGATCTAATATACACAGGACACATGTATTTAGCTCTTTAATTTAATTTAATCTTGTGTATTTTCCCAGTGATCACTGCAGACCAGTTGATTTATAAATGTCACCCAATATTGGTAACCCAATTAATCCAGTCATTATATTCCGCTTGCTACAATCACTCCTCCAGAAACGTTAGTGGATAGAAGCAGTTAAATTTTTTCCAGTTACAAATATTGGTTATCAGTAATAATTTAAACCATTTTCAAGTTTATGACCCCTCCTGTAGTCCTGTGTATTACAAAATTTTCATAGTGAATATCAAACAGCAAAGATACTAAATAAAAGAGATGACCAAAGAGAAACTTCATTCACAACAATAATATTTATTGTTTAATTGCATTAAATGGATTTTGGGGTCTTGAGGCAAATCAAGCCAAGATTTTCACAGAAAATCGACAGACTTTATTACAGAGATTTTTGTTGTAACATTTTAAACATAGATTACTCATTTGTTTGTCCACGTTATGCTACAATTTACTGTTACAACAAGACCTAACCAACCTTTACAATCCAATAAACTTCAATTAAGTCAAGCGCACCCTAGAAAGTGTATATACGGTTGCCTATGATTGCTTACATCCACTTCATTTGTACTTTGGTGGATAGTTGTCTCATTGGCAATCATACCACATCTCCTTATTTTTATATTTAAAAAGTTCTTATTTGTAGTTTTTAACCTAATGTCTATATTTAGAATAAAAAAAAAGAATGTGTCCATGGGACTCAGATGCCCCTGCTTGTTACTATGCAAGAGTCAATGTACTTATTCAAACAAATTTGAACTTGATCTGTGGGATCACTTTTACCATTCTCTAGTTATGGATATATTATTTTATTCATAACTTTCTAAACTGTGCAATTAAGAGCCTGATATATTAAAGAGAAACTCAGTCTATTATTTAAACCCATATGTTAACCACAAAAAGTTTGTTCATATGCCATCCATTTAAGCTTGCGTTTCTACAAAACTGTCTTTAAAATTCATATAATTAAAGGCATTGCTTAGCAAACAGTCTCACCACAACAAATTCAGTATCTCTTTTTACTAAAATTTTCATCAATCTTAGAAAAAAAGAAAGATTGAATTTCATGATATACATTAAGGACCAAAATCCCCTCAATCCATTTCAAAATTATTACAAAGAATTATTATTCAGCATTCTACGAGTAATGAGAGGAGAAATTAAGTATCATCATTAAACAATAAACAAGAGAACTGCCTGTTATTTACATGCCCTGTAATACATAAGACATGTTTATCAGCTATTGCTATTTCTTTTGATATTCATAATTGCAAGCATTAACAAAAATACATATTTTTCGTTTTGTCTAGACCGGTTTGAAATTCTATACAGTTTCTACTCCCAATCTTAAAACTAGACACAAAGTCTTCTAAATCATTATTTTTAGGAGGACTAAAACATGTCTCTCCTTCATATACAGAAGTCATTGAAGTAAAGGAAAGGCCAATATTTATGGTGCACTAGTAAGACCTGGTCATAGCAATTTTAAATATATTTATTATTTAAGTTTAGTTTAAACATATTTTATTGTTCAAAAATGACAAATGGATTAGACACAAGTTTTTCAACTTAGTAACGTCTTCTCCAATATATACATAAATATACACATGAATGAACATTACATAAATCTGACTTTAACCAATTATTATTTTAGCATGAAGATATAAAAATAAGTTACATACAAATTTTAAGAATCGAATCAATGGATATTTACCACTTAATATAACCAATCGAATGCGCCTATTTTCAGTAGAAATAAATACAAACACACCGAGCTGTGTAAAATAAAATATGTTAGTGTACATGACAAGTCATGTGAGTAAATTTGTTTAAATGTAAATTACACACTCATAGTTTAAAGTTACGGATTAACAGGAAAACGGAATAAATCTACACATAATTGTAAGTATCAATTTTGTTTTTTACTTAAATCCATGGAAACGTTTCAGAATACAAAAGTCAATCATAAAGATCATTCGATTATCGTACCCCTAAGAGCATACATTGATCATGTTCTAGTAAGATCTGTTACAGAATAAGGTTGTCAAAGTTGAGAAAAACGCTTGGTACTTTTTATATACTTTTGTACAGATAGAAAAACACTATAATTTTCTTCAGAACTCAAAGACTCATCACCAGAGAGCAATAACTCAATTGTAATATTGACAGCAAAAACATTGATTTCATTTATCATTAAAAGCCTTTGTGATGAAAAATTGTTACAATATAATAAATAATGTTTAGCATCTTCATTGATGAAGCCACATAAACAATTGGCATCTTGTACTAAGTTTGCATTAAACAAATCTGATTGAAGAGTGCTACAATGGTTTCGCAACCTTGCATGTAATACAGATAGTAAGCGATCTCCAGAGTAAAAATGTCTCGGAGATTTTTTATTCTTATAGTATAACATATGCAATTTGCTTTTAAATAATGAAAATGTAGGAATCTGTCTAATAATAATATCTAAAGTGTTCCACAATGTTATGGATGCTGGGAAATAAGAATGTTGATAAACCGACAAACGATTCACTGGAATAGTGATATTGTGTCTGTTTCGTAAATTGTAATTACTAATATCAGATACAAATTCTGGAACCAAGTCATGTAGATAATCTGGAGCCTGATTGTTAATAATTTTATAAAACATGGCCAACTTTTTTACCTCCCGCCTTACGCTTAATTTTTCCCATCCCGTCTCCCTGTAAATAGCGTTTCGGCTAGCATAACTTGGTAATCCAGTAACAATGCGAGCAGCCTCGATTTGAATATTTTCTATCCGATCAGAATTTATGTTCCCACAATTATCCCAAACTTCTGATGAATACTCAAGTATCGGACGAATAAAAATCATATAAATTTTTTCCAAATATTCCCTTTTTAATCGATATTTTAGTTTGCGTAAAACATTAAGCTGCTTCGAAGTTTTCTCAATCAGTTTATCAACATGCTTATTCCATTTACAATCATTACTAAATATGACACCTAGATGTTTGTGCGCACTAACTGGTTTCAATGTAGCACCACCAAAATCAAAAGTAATATCACTGTATATATTTTTCAAACTGAATATCATAATATCAGTTTTATTAGGATTAAACTTCACTAGCCATTTTTCTGACCACTTACTTAAATAATCAAGATCTCTACTGATCGAACTTTTTAAAGTGGATTCATCAGGTGCAGTATGACCTATTGAAGTATCATCTGCAAAAAGCCTTCCGAATCCAGACATACCATCAGCTATATCATTAATGTATATTAAAAACAACATTATTATTTAAGGATAGGAATCTAAACATTTAGAGAAATATTTTTAAAAAATTGGGGAAGGAAGCATGCCCCAAAGGGAACAAAACCATAGTGTAATGGAAAGGTCTTGTTATATCTATTAAGAATATATATATATAGCTTTGGGGTGGGCATCTGAGCAGTTTTCATGTGTGGAGGAAATCAAGTCATCCATCCCATAACTTATCAAACCCAAATCCTTTATAATAGGTATAACAAACTTAATCACCAAGAATTCATCATTTAGCTGCAAGATAAAAGTTACCAGTAGCTGACTTGGAGAGAAAATAATATGTCTATATATCGAGTTAGGTATATAGTTTTTCTGTAGATTGTTACTTCAAGAGAGCCAACTTATTAAATTTTGACTCAGGATGTCAGACTTGTAAAATTCAGGATATATTCATAT